TGGCTCTGCTCACTTACGGATATTGTCAGTGTTCTCCCTGACGATGTCTGTCTTCAGGAGGTTATCAGCCAGCACAAAGGCACTTTCCTCCACTGTGTCAAGTAACATGGTTGCCGCACGCAGCTGGTCGCTTGCAGTCAAGTCCCTCCAGGCATTCAGAGCCTGTGGCTGTAGGAGATTGTTAACCGTCTCAACCATGGCCTGCAAAGGAGGGTGAGAAAGGCCTTCTGTGAGTCTGAGCAAACTGTTAAGAAGTCTACAAATACATTCTACCCAGTCAGCAGAGCAGAGCACTGTATGTAGACACAAAATAGCCCCATTCTCCCTTGCCCAGTCCCATTCCCCCTCGCTCTTCATGGCAATCTGCAGTGGAGTTGTTCATCAATTTTCCTCTTGACCAAGCAAGGGAAGAAAGCCTAACTTTCATTCTACAAGCTGAACAACATAATGACCAAAAAAATCTTTTCTATTCCTGTGCTCTTTGCTGGTTAAAGGATGGGGAGGGAGGCTCTGGGAAGTTGGGGGGGAGGGGGCAGAGGGGGCTTGTCTCTAAAGAAAACATAGGAATTGTATTTGAAAACATGCATCTCTGCAAAGCAGTGAGCTGACAGCCACAGTCTGTTCTGAACTTAAGAAGCAGAGCCAGGATGTCAGCTACAGCTATTCCAGGTTAACAAAGAATTAACTGCACTAACATTGCCCAGCCAATGTAAAATGTACATTCAAGGGATACTCTTTCCACATAAACCCTTCAACATCTGTGCTGCTATCTTATTATCAAGGTAATAAACAGAGGGGCTCTGCTACCTGTGATCCTCAGGAGTTTCTTCATCCAGAGGATCAGCGGGTGCCCTTAGAGATTTAGATAAGGTATCACATTTCAAATCATTCCATTCAGCGAAGAGTTTTCCCTGTGCTAACAACTTGGATCCTTTCCACAGTGTACAATGCGCCCTAGGTTGCTAAGTAAAAGGAGCACTCCCATTGTGAACTTCCCCAGCATTAATCTGGCTGCACGTTAGGCTGCAAACGACATTGAGCAAGCCTCACAGTTTGTAAATTACAGTTGTCAGATCCGACTGATCCTGAAGATTTTTCTTCACTAAAAACACCCGCTCACTTACTAACTACTGCTGGCCCAGCTTGTATGTAGCTAGCAAGATTATAAATAGGGAACAACAGAGCCGGTGAGCAAAATTGACTGCACATGTTTAAAAGAAAAACATGCCCAGCTAATGTTCTCTTCTGCTGGTTAGTGTTTTCATAGTAACTAGTTACTGGCTGTTAAAAAATTCCTGCTTCATAATGAAACACCTCCGCTGCCAATTAATACCAGCCTCAGAAACTAATTTGCCCTTTGAGATAAAGTTGCCTTTCTTGACATCATTCCATGTGCTGAAAGGTCTGGCATCAAAGCTACTCTACTTTTCTGTGCTGCAAGGAGAGCCCTGCATGACTTCAGCAATTTACAGACCCCAAAACTGTGGTACAGATTATTCAGAAGAACAGCTGGGAATTCTTCCTCCCTCCTGCCCCACCTCCACCATGCTACAAATCCTGAGTTTACAAAATCATTTATTAACAGGACAGGGCATGACCTGTTTTCTAGGAAGACCGAGAGCCATGGCCCTAAAAATATATGACCCAAGGATATGGTACCAGGATTGGGGGAAGGCCTGACCCACTGCTGCCCGGCAAGCATGTGAAGTCATGGCAGGGAGAGGGTGGGATAGTGCTAAGTCAGAGTGGTAGAATTTCAAATTGCTCAACCATTAGATCACTTGCATGATATTTATAATAAATTGCGCTAAAGCCTATGGAAATGCAGGGATCTCCAGACTTCCAGGGTTTTTACATGTGTTCCAGGCATAGGGGGCGGGGTGCTTTAATTAGAACGGCTCCAAGAGCCACTCTAATTAAAGCACCCACAGCGTCTTGTGTATTAGCGTCCCTGTGTTTCAAAATGGTGGTGGGAGCACTTTAACTAAAGCTTGTCAAATGAGCTTTAGTTAAAGTACCCCCACTGGCATTTGAAGTGCAAGGATGCTGATACATGAGACGTGGAGGCTGGCTGGACCATGCAAATTAGCACGATCCAGCAGACTCGAGTTTGCTCTGACGTGCTGTAATTACAGCGCATTAGAGTAGCTTCCCCACACATGTATAGGCACCCCTAATGCTGATGAGGCAGCCATTTTTAATCCCTAATGACACTTTTACTGATGTAGAAGACAGGGCAGGGAAGCATCATGGATACTATACCAATTGCATTAAGATCTTTGTGAGGTACAAAGTGCATTTTGATGTCACTAGTCGTGTCCATCAGCAGTGAGCAGACACTGCAGAATGTACCCTTTGTGGAATCTCTATTGTACTCCACTGACATATAGAAAGCATAATTTGGAAATGTACCTATCTTCTTTTCTCTTGAGACTAACCACCTCATTTTTTTAACCCATTAAGCACCCAACATAGTTACTAAAGCATATTGAAACTTTGGGAAAATCAAGTCATAAAACTTCAAGAGCTTGTTCTATGCCACTCTTGCAAACATAAGGTGAGGTACTTGTCCCAACAAGTGTTGATGCCTCAGCTGTTCTTATTCATATAAAGCAAAATGTGTGTGTGTGCATGTGTGTCAGTGACACGCACGCATGTGTAAAACATTCACATACTAGACCTGGAACCTGTTTTTTAGCATATTGATGGTCACAAACTTTATCATCATCACACTAGCTGCTAGATTTTAAAACTATGGGCATCTATACAGATGCTCCACAGGTGAGGGGCCCTTAATTAGAGTGGCTCTGAGAATCACTCTAATTAAAGTGCCCAGACTGTCTCATGTACCAGCATTCCTGTGTTTCAAAATGATGGCAGAGGTGCTTTATCTAAAGCTCACTGAGTGAGCTTTAAATAAAGCGCCTGCACAGCCATTTTGAAGTGTGGGGATACTGATACATAAGATACAGAGGCTGGCTGGAGCACAGTGATTATCATGCTTCAACAGACTTGATTAATTGAGTCTGCTGTGATGCACTGTAATTACAGCATGTTGGAGCAGCCTCCCAGCTCGTGTATAGGCACACTATTTGCTTTTTTAAAGTTTTTTTTTAAAGAGATCTTTGTAAGTTTTTTAATTGCATCTAAAACAACAACAACAAAAAAAGAGAGAGACAGAGAGAGAGATACATTTAGCTGTCAAAAAGAAGCATCATAAATCTATGGTATTTAGGCATGTTTTCCAGCATTTTAAAATCTTAAAGTCCAATCTGAATAACACTTAATGCAATTCAGTAACTCACTTTGGTAACTTATCTCTCTAAAGACCAAAGGGAAGTGTCATTATTTTCTAGTGATCAAAGTCTTGCCTATTTTGCTGTGCATGTCTATGCAATGTGTTTTTCTTGCAAAGATCCCATATTCATGGAAAGCAAATTATGCACTCTCATCAAAAAAATGATGATTTTTCTCCCCCTTCAATGTTATTATGCAGAACACAATTTGCATTACTTTCATCTAGCTCGGCTGCTAATGGGCTCTTTAAATCTTTGGTAAAACAACATGTTGGATTTTATTTTTTTTAAATATTTGAATGGTAGAAAGAATTAGTTTTTAGTGCAGATCTAGCTCCTGGGTTTGGATGGAAAGGTAATGCATATTTGACTAAACTTGAAACAGATGCTCGAATGTTTGCATTACGGTGCAACATCTGCTGCAGAGATTCGTCCCGTGGAAAACTATTTTTTTCAGATGTGTATTTTAATTTTTGTTGGGGTTTTCTGTGCTTGCACAATGCAGACTTAGTCAGGCATTAAAAAGCTCTCCTGCTGAGTTGGGAGTCCTGACCTTCAGCAGGATGCCAGACTTGGAAAGTATCTGTGTGACTAGACTGAAACCAGCAAAGCCATACCACTGGTGAACGATATGATCTGAAGCCTATTGAAGGCTTCGATGGACACTGGCAGATGAAGTCCTTATGCTTGATTTGAAAGTATCCCTAAAACACCCTTCACTGGCTTTGCATCAGGCGTGAATTTGGCCGAATGCTTTTCCCAAAGGTCAGCTCATCTCACCTAGTCTAGTGCACTAATCTAGTGTTCCAAGTGTTACATTTTAAGAAAAGCACTTCATCACAGCTAAGTGCTGCAGGCAAAGCCAAGGAGATTAGGTGTTAATATAATGTTTGGGTTTGGGACAGAGGCTGAGGTAGGTGTTTAAATGAAACAAAACAGCTGTTACAGCAACAGCTTCTAAGGCTGAGATTACACGTTGCAAGAGGAAGGAGATCAGGGGTGGGGGGTAAGCCTACAGGAAAGAAAGTATAATGGTTAGTCCTAGTTAAGGCACTGGTCTTAGGAGTTGGACCTCTGGCTCAGCTGCCAGTCTCTGGTCTCTTCCCACGAGGTAGCTGTTTGACACCTACATCCCTTTTTTAAGGAGCAGTAGCAGATTGCTCTGTCAACTGGAGAGAGTGAAGGGAGTGACTGTCTTGAATGCCATTATAACATGCAGAGAATGGCATTGGAAAACTCCACACAGAGCACTAGAAGAGTGGAGGTCAGGTCATGCCATGGGACCTTAACAGTGAACAACAGCTATGACATATGCATGGTCAGCGTGAGACCACCCAAGACCCTGATAAAAGCTGGGATTTGAAAAAGGACCTAAAATGCCTGGTGTGAACAACTCCTTGTAAAAGGACTTGGGTACCTGACTCCCTTAAGCTCCTTCAAATGAATAAGCAAATCAGAAACCCTGCTGGTTCATACTTTGATTCAGTGAGTTAGATGTCTTCCATTGCTGTTTTTTTCTTCCCTCCCCTGTTCTCAGCTTAAACATTAACTGAGTACAGCTCATCTGAAGGCAGAGATTTCAAACGGGCAGGCCAAATAGCTTTTGTGAGACTTCATGCAAAGTAAGATGTATGGGGCTCCAGCCTGTTCTTTCCAAAACAGAAACCAACCTCCTACTCCATCTTTGCATGCATATTTAACTGCCCTGAGGAAACTCCAAGGTTGCTGGGGTATAAAAATGATGATTAGAATACCACAAATAGAAAGAAGGGCTACAGTGCTAGGAAATCTCTCTTTTGCAAGCCAGCAAACAGAGGCTTAATAGCTTGTAGCCTCAGGTCATAGACAGAGAGAAAAATTATGTTGGGGAACTCTCCCAGTGGAGTACCAGAGGAGATGTCTTAC